TGTTTTTCCTCATATTAATTGCGCTGTCTTGACGCTAGTCCTTTCTGTCATCCCAAGGTATGCTAACTTCTTGGCCATGCCTCTCGATCCCGCAAACACGGCCGTCATCCAGGGGTATACCAACGGCATCGCTATGAACGACCGCGACGGTGGACACGCCGATGCATCGGCCAATGCGAACTTGAAGCGACTGGCGTGCAACCCGTGCCGGGAAAGAAAAGTACGATGTGATCGCCGGCAGCCGAAATGCGGACGTTGCGCCAAGATCGACGGGAGCTGCCACTACTCGAGCCCTTCGAAGCACGCCCTGTCCAAATCGGAGCTCTCTCGAATTCTCATCGCCCTTCATGGTCGACTCGGTGGGTACTACTCGCAGCGCTCCCTGTCCCTTGTCGACGCGATGGAGATGGCCCCTTTTGTTGTGAGAACCTCTGGTGCGAGGGCCGGACGCTTTACTGACCCGTCACGCTGCAGAGCATGCCGAAGCTCAACTGGCAATGGCCACGCCGCCGGTCAACATGCCCCCGTTCAGCACTGGCGCATGGCCCGACACAACATTTCTACCAGCGCCGCCCACCACACAGCCAAGTGCACCGCTGCACCAACCCCCGGTACCGCCAGCGCCAGGGGCTTCACAGCGCGGCAGCATTGACTGGTATGATGGCCGACTTCCCTACGCTTTATTGCCCAGCGGATAGCTAACTCCGTCGCCAACAGGACGGCCCGAGTAAGCGAAGGGAGCGCCAGTGCGTTTGGGACCCTGGATACCAGCGGCAGAGCGGACTTCTCGTTGCTCGGTTCGGCAACCACAACAGCCGTTGGGTTCGACCCACTTTTCGACGAGTTCTCCGGTTCTGTCTACAGCGACAGTGACGGCGACATCACGTCCAAACTTTCGGCAACGCTCTTCCCCAAACTGTCAGTAGGCCCCAAAGTTGCCCAGTCTTGTGTTTGGCTAACAAGGTCTTAGACATGCCGTCTATTTCGAAGTGTTTCATCCCATTCTCCCCATCGTCAACCGCGCCAGATTCCAGGAAGAACTAGAAGCCGAACCTCAGTCGATCCAAGTCCAGGCTCTCTCACATGCTATTGCAACGCTTGGTGCGCTGGTAGCACCAGAGGATGGGTACGCATTTGATGCGTGCTACCACCATGCACGCAACTTAGTGGAAAGTTGTGAAAGACAGGACAACGGGCTGGTTCTGGCCGACATCAATACGTTGCAGGCATATGTGCTGCTTGGATTCTATGAGCTACGCAAACCGAACCTTGCGCGGGCGTGGATGACGCTTGGGCGTGCTACAAGATTGGCGCGCATGATGTGTCCCGACGGACTGGACGACCCCTTGGGCGATGCCAGTCACAGGAGGCTTTTTTTGCTTCCGCCGACTGATAGGCCGCCAAGTCCCGCTGATGTTGAAGAACGACGACGTACATTTTGGCTGTTGTACCTTCTTGACGGATCTGCAGCGGTGAGAATAAGCATTTCCCCCACTTTTGATGGACCGCAGGTGAGTTCCACAGCATTTCCCAATCTTCCCTACCGATATTGGGAACCAGAACGGCGGAAGTGAGGTTACTTTGTCCTGCTTGGTTCCTCAGACGGCTAATATCACGTGTGCTTCTTGCCAAGGCCTCAAACCCCCTGCCGTGTCATGGAGAGCTCCAAGATATCACTATCCGGACCGATGCACCAACAGTTGATGACGTCTTTGACCACTCCCGAGGCGTGACCCTCTCACCTTTTGCAGCCTTTATTACGACGATGGGACTGTGCAGACGCTTCGCGGCCCCCCTTCAGCAGGCGCTCCAGGACCCAACACTGCCATTCTGGGATCGATATTACGCAACTGATCGATTGCTTTCACGATGTCAAAAGGAAATCTTTGACCCGCTCATTGCCATCCATGGGGCATGCGCAAGTCCCGGCCTGATTGCGTTGCGGATCAATCTGGCGGCGGTCGAGCTCTGCTTACATCAGACGGCAGTGGCCAAGCTCGGCAAGGAAGGCATGTCGGCGGCGCTGACGGCTGAGACCAACGCAAGATGCCAGCGTTCGGCAAACGAGATCGCCAACGCGGTAAGGGATGCGCAGCAGTTGGCCGGGCGGGCGCACGATTCCTTTCTGCAGACCGGGGTGCTCTTCGAATGCGGAATTACGAAAGCCATCGAAGCTTATCTGTGGATGCTGGAAACCGATAGGAGCGACACACAGGGCCACGTCAAGACGGTCCGACTGCTCTGCAACGTCTTGACGGAGTTGGTGGACCCCGCCTGCGTGCAGCCGGGTCTGTTGGAACATGTAGAGGCAAAGATAAGGGACGCGGAACGACCGGCAAAGAGACGATACACCGACATTAGCAGCGGTTCTTCCAGCTTACATGGGGGTTATTGAGCGGAAGTTACAAGTGTTGTATGCAGCATGGGAGTATGGGGGCCAAGGATCAGCCGACGGGCGTGGTTGTCGGGGTAAGAAGACAAGCGAATCCGATAGACCACGATAGACCCGCAAACTGACGCTACCTTCCAGCGCGGTTTACACCACCAATAATGAGAAAATGCATCTAGCCACAAAAGCCCCCACCACGGTATTTCCACCCACCCCCAAGCGCGCCCTTCACCAAGAGTTACGGGACATCGCTGCTTGGGGAAAGGTTGCCAAGCAGGGGCTAGTAGCCACACCTTATTCCGAAGTCAGCGCATGGGAGTCAGCCCTATCGGTTCGCTTGTGGGGGATTCACCGAGGTGTCTCAAGCTTGACCCCACCCTGAGATGACCAAAGATGCAGCGTTGCGTCTCGGCGTTGACAGATTTCTCACCTGCGTGCCAATTACCACGCACAGCAATCAAAACGGTCAGCGTAGCACGGGCAATCGTTCGCCAATCCTGGCGCTGGAGGACCGTTGGCTGAGACCAAGGTCCGGAAACCGACATATGCACGTTCGGGATTAGGGGTTTCAATGGAACGTGGATGGCCTGAGAGCGTTCTCGTCCTCTTACTGTCAGCAAATAGGTGATTGCGCAGCAGGATCAAAGAGCATCTGCGAAGGCTCGGTAAAAACTGCCCAAGTGGTTCGGATGGCACCCAATCAGCAATGACCCAGTCAGACGAAGGATTAGGAAAAGCCACTTGTTTACCTCACCTACCCAGGTAAGCGGCGGGAAAGGGGTTACATTGTCGAAGGGTTTCTTAGAGTCAATCACGGCGGGCGGCGGTCCCTCCGTACCAAAACGATGAATTGGGGGGATCTTCCTCCCCGCCCGCCTCAACGCTCAAGCATTCGAGTGTGGTTGTTGGTGCCCTCGCAAGCATGTCGCGTTTTGCCTCCGAAGGCGAGACCTCGGGTGACCCCCACCTAAGACGGGACGCATCTCACACCCCTGGCGGGCCGCTACGGGCCGAGCAGGGGGTGTAAACATCAATCGTTTTGGGAATGTTCGGGAATAAACCTGGCATCCGAATGCGAGATGTCCGGTGTTTCGGTCCCGCACGGGGCCTGCTCCGGTGCACTCCACTTCGGCGCGGAACGGTGCTTGTATGGCGACGAAATGACGGCCAAATGGCGGCGGGAAAGCTCCGGGGGCTCCAGGTGGACAAGTGAGCTGGAGTGAGACTAGTGTGTGTGACGCCGGGAATTAGGAGTGTTTCAAGTGCTGGAGGACGAAGTATATACGATCGAGAAAGGCATTTCTCGCATTGATTCGGCTCTCTGTTCAACATTGTTCCCCTGACTCTCACCCTCGAACACGAAAATGGGTGCATACAACTTCAAGCTCCTCAAGGACGAACTCAGCCTCTCCGGCTGGCTCGCCATAGGCGCCACAGCACAGGCACTCGTCTCGTACCTAGCACCCGCGAGGTACTCCCTCGTACCCGTGGCTCTCGTTTCCTTCATCCTCGTCTCCAACCTGTTGCTGCAACACCTAGGCTGGGCCCGAAACACCTACCTCAACGATGCCGTCCTTGACCGCACCACCGTTGTCTTCCCCGAAGACGACGGCTCCAAGCCAGAAAAGATGGGCACCAAGCCCGTTGCTGTCTTTTGGCTCGGAATCCGCTCCAACCACCCCATGGGCCGGTTGCACCCGGCTTATCAGAAACTGAACAAGTATCTGGACGATATGTACGCCGATTGCGAAGCCAACCGTGCTACGAATGGCTGTAAGTCCAACCCCGGTCCCAATCCTTAGCCATTGACCAACACCCGCAGTCCTCGGCCGCTCCCCCGACCTCATCGCCTCGGATTACTCCCAGAACAACACCCTCCACTCGGTTAGCTACTGGAAATCCATCGAACACCTCGAAGCCTTCTCCCGTCGTCCCGCTCACCTCAAGGGTTTCAAATTCCTCGTCGCCAACGTCATGGGCGGATCCACCGACCTCGGTGTCCTCGTAAGTTTCCCTCTTCCCCTCCTGTCAAAAACCCAACGGCTGACAGAAAATGCAGCACGAAGTCTTCTACTGCCCTCCCGGGCATTGGGAGGCAATCTATACGAATGTCAAGACGCAGAACTTTGGAAGTCTGCAGTGGCCTATGGGGAAGAGTGGGAATTTGAGGGGGGCGTATATTGAGCGGGATCCGAATGTTATCAAGGGGATGTGGGGGAGGATGGGGAATAAGCTGAAGCAGGCGGAGGCGGATGAGAAGTTTGAAAAGGTTTTTGGGGATGCGTAGATTGGAGTCACCGGCTAGTAGAGACTTGGTGTTAAAGTGGATAGGGGTTGTTGAAGGTGGGGAGGCCGAAGGAAACAGTGTAAAGGGTCAACTTGTAAGGTAGAGTGTCTGGTCTAAATGACCCTGGCCAAGGTATCACGAGTAGCTTTCCATGTCCCATTTTTACTCGATACCTCTGTGAAAGCTAGAGATCACTACAGCCCCTGAGCTTCAGGCGGAGATGAGCCCACCTTGCGGCGCCCCTGAGTCCGTTCCACCCGCTCCGCATCGTCGAACTTCCAACGTCAAAAATGAGGCCAGGGGATGCAAAACGGCAAAATGACTCGTCACCTGCAGGATTCGAACCTACTCTCCCGAAGGAACAGCCTTCGTTGCTGAGATAGCAGGGCTGCGTGTTAACCACTCCACCAAAGTGACTTGGATTGCTGGTTGTTGGGAGACGGCGTCACGGAGCTCGCTTGTGACCTTTGCATGGGGCAACTTCTCAGATGTGAGCGAGTCACATTGCCGACTGACCCCTACCTAACAAGACGGGCTTGACACATGGGGGATCACTGTACATTTTACGTGGTCTAGGTTGTGCGAGAAAAAGGTCATTCCATTTCTTGTTTACAAACAACCAGATCTGGATCCATTTATCGTCTCTCACTCCATGCCGGAACCGGGGACGATGCGGGAGGCGCGAATCTCGACACCCGTCAAATCACCCTCCTCCTTGGTAAAGCGCAGACTGGTGGCGAAGAGCATTCCCTCGAGAGCTTTGTACTCGTCATGTCCAGCTTCGATCTTGAGGTGTTGGACTGTTTGCTGTTAGTCATGCAAATGACAATAGGGCTAAGAAAAAGACAAAAGACAAAAGACAAAGACGAAAAGAAGAAAACTCACATCCATTCCCAAAAGCCGGAGTCTTCGCATCCGGCGCCCCAAAAATCAGCGGCATCGTGTCCTCATTAATCGCCGTAATGCCCTCCAGTCGCAAATGGATCGACCGCCCCTGCGCATCCGTAGCCAGTGAATGCACGTCGATGCGACCCTTGGATCCGTCCGGGTCGATGCGGAACCAATCGGTGCCGCTGTTGACGGCAAAGTCAAGCTTGGGCTCAAAGTCGCCGACCGACTTGATGGTGCCTCCTGAGAAGGGGACGGCGACGAGCTTGGAACCGCTGAAGACGTCGCCGCACATGAACTTTTGGGAGAAGTAGGTTTTGATGCGGAGGGCGGGGACGAGGGTGGGGAAGCTTTCGGGGGCTTCGATTTTGGTGATGGAGCCCATTTTGATGGGTGTTGGGGTGTCTCGGAAAGTTGAAGTTGATGTTGTTGATATTGGCGTGAGTGCAGCGGCAAGTTGGATATGTTGATCCTTGATGTCAATTCAGGGGTAAAAAGGAATCGTGTTGTTGATCAACGTCGAAACTATTGCCTGCAACCTCACGACTTTCCCCATCTATTTTACTGTCTTTTGATTTGGGAAGTGAATCCCGTGATCTGCATCGGGAGGGTGAGTCCGCTCGGTGCGGTGCGGACCCAAGGGTAAGACGGGCGCGGCACCTTTCGGGGGCGCGGGCCTGCCTGACCGAGGCAGCATCCGCGCGCCGTCACTGGTCCTCCAATACCATGCAAATGCAAATCGGGGGCGGTCTCTCTAGATGAGAACGTTGACGAATCAAAAGTCTGGAGATCTGTCATAGAATTGGAGATATGCATTCACCTGTCTTTGTGCGTTTCGAACAGTCTTCCAAGATCTTCGATTATGATGTCAACTTGGGACTTCTGGGAAACACCTATTGTACCTAAGGCCATAAAAAGCATTTACCCCATGTTGAATCATCTTCGTGGATGATGGTAAATTGACAGGAGCACATTTGGGCAGCTTACGTATCTACAGAGCGTAGTTAGCGATAATTAACCATTCAGGGGTTGAAAGCCCAAACAAACAACAAACAGGGCAAAACAAACACAAAACAATGCAAATTGTACGCAAATTCGTAATCTCCATTCAAAAGCCATCTCAATCATAAAATCCAGGAACTTAAAAAGCAGCCAAAACACCCCTCACCCCCTGCACCACGGCCGCCACCCCAAACGCCGCCACCACGGTAACCACCACCTTCCCAAGCGACCCCTTCTTCTCTCCTTCGCCACTTGCAACCTTGCCCTTTCCAACCCCCACAACCTCCCCATTCTCCTTCTCCTCCTCATCCCCCCATTTTAGTCTCCCCCTCTCCACCCCCTCCCCATTAACCTCCACAAAATCCAAAACCGGTCCCTTCCTAATATACTCACCCAGCATCATATCTGCAGCGCCACGATCGGGAAGGTAAGGCAGAATCCAAGCGAGAGCCTTGTGCAGGGGAGTAGTCTGCGCTTGGATGCGGCTCATGAGGCCAGAGGTGTCGGTTGCGAATTTGGTGCGGGGGAGGCGTTCGGTGTTGTAGGCGGTGAAGATGGCGGTGAGATCGGAAGCGGTAGGTTTGGGGTTGTGGGAGAGGAGGCGGTGGAGTTTGTTGGTGAGGAGGACGATGTCCTCTATAGCGGTGTTGCCGCCTAGGGCTATGTTGGGTGTCATCTGAGAATAACTCTGTTAGCAATTTTTTGGTGAGGAACAGGAAGAAAGGGGGCTACCTTGTGCACTGCGTCTCCGGCTAGGACGGTTCGCCCGTGATGCCAGCGTTGGAGAATGCCTTCTTCCAGAGAAATGAGAGTCCCTCTAGCGCGGCCATTCCAGAGATCGCCAAAGGTGAGGGACTCGGTAATCGGCTGGTCGGCCACGCTGGCAGCGAGATCCTCGGCGTCTTGATCGGTGTAGCGAAGTCTTTCCGATGCCGCGAACGGCTTGTCAAGGTGGAAGAACACGAAGAAGAAGCTGCAATGCGGCTGCGCGAGAATCAAGAACGAGTACCCGTCGTTGTGAACAATGGCGGAATCGCTGCGTCCCAGCGATGGCGCGCGCGGCCCAACGCCGAGGAGGCATTTCCAGTACGTTTTAAAGGCTGTCTTATCGCTTTTAGGGATGTGCGCTGGGTTGGACGCAGCGGCGTGGTCCCACATGATGGAGCGGGAGAGACTGTGTACGCCGTCGCATCCAAGGACGATGTCGCCCTTTTCGATGGTGCCATCGGCGAGGGTGACTTCGACGCCGATCGTGGTTTCGGTAATGTTTTTGACAGCAGCGGAGGTTCTGATTTTGGATTTGTCGGGGAGGTTGTCGTAGACTACTTGCAGGAACGCTCGTCTCTCGAGGGGGAGAACGTCGATTCCATGGCTGCCCTGACATCAGTTTTCGTGGTCCTTCCAATTTGGGCCTTTGGGACTCTCACTTTTCTTTGATGTAATCGTAGAGCCCCGAATTTGCGGCGACGCTCCCATCAGCCCAACGCGTCCAGGCCCGATCATGCAACGTGCCAGCGTCGAATAAAGCCTTCATGCATCCTAACTGATTGAAGACTCGCAGGACATGGGGGAAGACGGTGATGCTGGCGCCTTCAGGGGGCGCAATTTCGCTGCGTCGTTCTAGCACGACATGGTCGATGCCCGCCCGTTGGAGACAGTGTGATGCCGCCAAACCAGCAACGCCGGCGCCGATGACGATGACGCGAAACTGGGACTCCATGATGGACAAGTTGGTTCCAACTTGGAGAACGATGCTGAAGAGTCGATGACTTCAGGACAAGGTCTAGATCCCTAGAACCGCCCCTAGTTCTCGCGAACTGGGAAATCAAAAATCGTTCTTCTAAACGCAAAACCATTGTCAGCTGCATTTTCAGCCAAGAACCATCGCGAAACCCCGTCTGGAGATCGGAAAGTCATCCCCGTCAACGGACCGCTCGGAAAAGTGGGTCCCCGCAAGGGGTAAGACAAGGGGTAAGACAAGGGGTAAAGACGGGGAGCGAAAAAGGGGGTAAACCTATCACCTCGGTGTTCGCGGACCGAGCCGTGTCACCACGTCCAAAACAGCCCGGCTGTGTGCATTGCAGGAAACAACTCTGTCTCTTGTCCGTCTTATCGTTGCACCCAATTTGCAGCTACTCGGATTCCTGCCCTCATCGGCATTCTCATCGGCGATAGCTTGTGTCTAAGTCCGATTGGGCCGATTCCGAGGAGAGGAAAACAGAGTTCTCCCTCCAAAGTTGCTCAAGCTGCTCAAGCTGCTCAAGCTATCCAAATTCGTTCGTCGTGAATCCCCTCATTCGTGATCCCCTCCGTTTGCACATCAGCTTCACCAACACAACTCTCACCCACCACCCCACCAGCATCACAATGTCAACAACAACACCAACCAAAGACTCCCCTTCCAAAATGGAAAAAACGCCGAATTCAGACACAGAATCTCCCCCCACCAAGCTCCTAAACTCCTCCCGCCGCACCATCCGTGGCCTCCCCTGGTTCCTGCTCACCACCTCCATATCCCTCACTATGTTCATCTACGCCCTCGACAACACCATCACCGCCGACCTCGTCCCCGCCATCGCCACCTCCTTCTCCTCCGTCTCCCTCCTCCCCTGGCTCTCCGTCGGCTTCCAAGTCGGCGCCTTCATTGCGCTCTTGCCGATTACCAAGCTTTATTCCAAGTTTAATGCAAAGGTGGTGTATCTGACGAATGTGGTGCTGTTTATGGGAGCCTCGGCGATCTGCGGCGCCGCGCCGAGCATGGATGCGATGATTGTGGGGAGAGTCTTGTTGGGAGTGTCGGGGAGTGCGATTTACTGCGGGATTTTGTTTTTGGTCACGGTTCTCTGTGAGGAGGGGGAAAGGGGGTTGTACATCAGCCTGGCGGGCGCGGTGTGGGGCGTGGGCACGGTGTTGGGTCCTGTGGTAGGAGGGGCGTTTGAGAGGGTGGATTGGCGGTGGGCATTTTATATAAATATCGTGATTGGGGGTGTCGCCGCGCCGGTGTGCTGGTGGGTGCTGCCGGGGTTCGATCCGTTGGAGGGGGGAGAGACGAAGGTGGAGTGGAGGGAGAGGTGGAGGGGGTTTGATGGGGTGGGGACGGTGTTGTTTACGGCGTGGTCGGTTTGCTTGGTCATGGGGATTAACTTTGGGGATGTGTTGTATCCGTGGGGAAGCTGGCAGATTGTTGTGTTGTTTGTGGTGGGGGGCTTGAGCTTGGTGGCGTTTGCGGTGCAGCAGCGGTATTCGTGGTGGACGACGACGGCTGAGAGGCTGTATCCGGCGCAGCTGTTGAGGAACCGAGAGGCGGACCTGTTGGCGCTGTCGGCGATTTGCTCAAACATGGCCATTTTCATTCCGATTTTCTACATTCCGGTTTATTTCCAGTTCACGAGGGGGGACAGCGCTATTGTTGCGGCGGTCAGGCTGCTTCCGCTCATCGCCATTGTCAGCGTGGCGCTGGTGGGTCAGGGGTTCTTCCTTGTCAGGCTTGGATATTACTGGCCGTGGTATACCGTCGGTGCTTCTTT